AGCTGCTGAAGTGTTCTCTCTGCACTCCCCAGGAACCATTGCTTTCCTTCTGCCTTTTCCAGCCCTCACTCTAATTCTAGTGCAGGATATTTTTCTGCTCATTTCACAGTACCTTGCCATTACTGCCTCCCTTGCTCTTTGTCTTAATGTCTCCTATGGGTGTTCTTGTCCGACAGAAATCTAGAAATTCAGGCAGCAAAGCGGACACTTGGGCATTAAATGGCCAAACAGAGTTAGTGAAATACAAGATTTCTGGTCCCAGCTGCAGTCTCTGAAGACTTGGACTCTCTCATCTTTCAACCAAAGGTTTGTTTTTCTGTCTGGTTATAGGCCCTTTCATCAGAATACAGAAGTTACATTTCTCCTATGTGGCACTCAGAAGTCATAGCTATATATATCCATGACAGGCAAAACCCCAGTGAGTATATGTTCTTCTAAACTATCTGAAACCACTTCTAACATAGAAACCAACCTTCAAGGAAGGAGAATCTACCTGACAACATTTCCATTTAGAACACAATTTCAGGTCCAGCTTCATTTATTTAGTCATTTTATAATGTTGTTTCCATCAGATTAAAAATTCAGATGCACAGATCCTAATGACATTCTTTCCGCATTATGTCAAAAACCTAAAGGAAATGTTAAGGATTCCCCTGGCCTATTCCCACTCCTTTGTTTAGATCCCATACATTATTCTTATAAACAGTTAACTAGCACATTTAAAGAACAACTTATAATATTATTTCACGTAAAACCTCATAGGTCTTGAAATAGGCTGTAATCCTGTTTGTAACCATCCCCCCACTCTTGTCCCTGCCCAAACTGAATTATAATTCTAAAGTTTCTACACCAATCTATTTTTTTTTTCTTTTTAGGTATTGCTAAAGCTGGAGAACTGTTGCCAATCTTACTTTGGAAAATAATTCTGTTTCTCCTAGTTTCTGTAAACTGTCCTCATGTATTCTTAATTTTCAAACATTTTAGATGAGCTTCTAGTGTTCATAACCAACAACAGATACCTGCTGTAGGTTAATTTGGCTAATGCAGAGTGAATTTTAGATTCTTTCTCTTAGACTGCCCATACATCTGTCTGTTACTTAACAATGCAAGAAATGATTTAGCAAAGTTAATGATCCATTGGGAAGGCAAAAGTAAATTCATATAATGAAGCATCTAGGACTCTTCTCTGTGCATGTAAAACAGCATTTTAATGAGCTAAATGAGTTTGAATATTTAAACTCTGAATAACCCTTACTATTTGTTATCCAAATTTAAAGCAATATTTCATATGTAATCCATAATCTTAGAGGCTGGTTTTCAATGGCTGCTTTCTACCTATGAAGTATAAAAAAATGTTCCTCAAAACACACATGATAGAACAGGCTTATTGTAAATATCAGAAGAAACATAAAAGGAATATATGAAAGGATGACTTTGTGAGAATAAGAAATAGTCCTAATATTACTATTTTTGGAGTGGATTATGGAGAAACTAAGAGAGCTTCTGTTTACATTCTATAAACAATGTACTAAACAGATTCCTGCCTTCATGGTGAAAAATAATTGCTGAAAATAAGGAGGTCAGTAGGTCTAAATACAGGTAGATTATAGCATCCTCTGACATTTTAAAGTGATTTCAGAGAAAATATAATGTTTTATCTATCACATTAGAATTAAAGGAACTATTCATAAACAAAGAATTGTAGACTCTTCTCAACTGTCTGATAAATTCTCAACCAGAGCAGGCATTCCCTGACAACATCACTGACATGATTTTCTATCTTCTGCTATAAACATTTTTGGGAGAAGAAATGTGTTCCAACATATTTCCCCAAATTTGTCCTTCCTTTAACTTTCACCCAGAGTTGAAGATGTTGTAACGGAATATAAGTCTGCACTCTGCCACAAAGTAACTATTTAAATGTATAAAATAACTAATATCATCTAGTATCAAGTCTTCCAATTTTAGATTATCACGCAATGTCTTCAACTATTCCTCAAATGAAAATGGCTCCAGAACATCTTAACATCTTTATGGCTCTTTACAAACTCCAGTTAATAGTCTCTAGAGTGAGACTCAGAATTGGAACACCAAGAATCCATGTGGGGTCTGACCAGTAAAAAATAGTTAGGAATTATTAAGTATCTGGAATCCTACATGTATGGGTTTAGTCAAAGATTGCATTCACTTCAGTTTAGTAGTCTAGGTGTAATGTTGTTCTGTGAGTTTCTCTCTTAATAAAACACTTAGATCATTTTCATCTAATGTCTGGTAAATAACAATTTTTAAAAATTTTAACCTTTTATTTTTCCTATGAGTGCTTTTTTTGTGATTTGGTATTTTTTCTTAATCCTTTCTTTCTGATGGTAGTGGACATCTATTATTTGTATCTCTATGTCTTCACATCCTGCAATTCTATATTGCTAGATACCAGAGGCAACCACACCTCATTCTCCTCCCAACTGCTATGGTTTAAATTGTTTTATTTCCTCCAAAATTCACATGCTGAAAACTTAATCACCAACACAACATTGTTGGAAGGTGTGTCCTAATGAGATGTGTTTTTATTATGTGGGCAGAGCCCTCACTAATGGATTAATGCTGCTAAGAAAAGGGCTTGTGGAAAGGGTTCCCCCACTTTTGCTATGTGACAACACAACATTCCTTCTCTCCCGTCAATGGAACAATAAGAAGCCATCTTGGAACCAGAGACAGAGCCTACTGGCATTTTGATCTTAGACTTTCCAGCCTCCAGAACTCTAAAACAATAAATGGCTGTTCTTTATGAATTACGGAGTCTGTGGTATTATGTTGTAATAGCACAAACAGATACCCTCCAATCATGCCTCTAGTTGGAGTAAGTAATAAATTGGTTGAGTCAGGAGATGGCATTAATCCAACCAAGGCCCTTTCGGTTTTAAATTTTGAGCCAAAGAGATTATCTTCTTCTCTAGAGATGAAACAATGAGATGTGAGATGCAGGAACTCTTAGCAGTAGGCTGAAAAAAAAAAAACCTGAAACAGCCTGGAAAAAGAAAGCCAATATGTAACGAAAAGTAAAAACAACTTAGGCCGTTTTCAAGATTCCGGTTCCAACTATTCCTGAAGCTTAGCTATACCCTTAGGTTGTCCATGGGTACATGAGCTAATAAATTCATTTAAAGAAAAAAAAACCTCAACAACAACAAAAAAACAAAAACACTTTTCCAGCAAAACAAGTAGTGACTTGCATATACATTTTACTGTCTATGGTTTTTAAGTATTCCTCTTTCTCAACTTGATGTCTTGTATTATCTTTCTATTGTTACTATAATAAATTATCATCAACTTAGTGGCTTAAATAATACAAATTTATTATTTTACAGTCCTATAGGTTAGCAGCTGATGTGGGTCCCACTAGCTAAAACCAGTGTTGTCAACTGCACTCCTTCCTGGAGACTCTGGAAAAGAATCTGATTCCTTGTCTTCTCTGGCTTCTAGAGGCCATTTGTGTTCCTTAGTTCATGATTCCCTTCCTCCATCTTCAAATTCAGTAATGTTGGATCTCTGACCATTCTTATGTAGTTACATGTCCCTCTAACCCTGATCTTGCTTGGAAAGGTTGTTGTAAGAACTCTCGTGATTAAATTGGACCCACCTGGATAATCCAGAATAATCTCCTCATCTCGATGTCCTTAATTTTAAGCACATATGCAAAGTCTCTTTTGCCACGCAAAGTAACATATTCATAGGTTCTGGGAATTTAGGTATATGAATATTTGAGTGAGGGAGGAATTATTCTGCCTGCCACTAAGAAACAAAGACGACATTTCATTTCTCATTTCATTTCTCATTATTCAGTTCAGTAATAAAAATATGTTAAATAGGAGAAGCCAAAGATACCTTTCAAAATAATAACAACACATTAATCAACATTATTTGGAAACCATTGTATTATATATCAAATGACTCTTTCAAAATTGTTTTTCTGGGAAGAAAATTTCTGCTGGTTTTATCTTTTTCTAAAGATGCTTTTGGAGATCCTTACTGGATTTCCCCAGCTATCATCAGAATGCAATCTCTGAGATGTAGAAATAAAAGTATTTCCATATCTATATACTTGAAGCCTAAGGCTGCTATTATTTCTAAGCATAGAGAGTGAACACAGCATCTCTTTGTTTTACTAATTGCTTTGTTTCCCTAAGCTGCAAGTACAACATCTGCCAGACCAGAATGCACTCCTTCCACACACCAAAGAACCACGGCTGGATAAACGACCTACACATCATGGTGTAAGGGCAAGAGCTTTGCAGGCAGCCAGAAGGCAGTTTTCAAGAGGCAAAGACTTCAAGTGGAAATGAAGCTGAATCACCCTCCAAAATCTTTAGAGTGGTTATGGAGTTGTTGATTCTGTAATGATTTCATAGTGTCTGCAATTTTATTGATTTTGTTTTTCAATAGAACTGTTAAAGATTACGATTCTAAGATAAGCAGAATGTGGGCAGATGCTCACAATCTCACTCACTGTTCTGCCAAGATATTTTTACATCTTTCTGCACATAAAACAAAATGAAGACATGTGCTATAGATGCATGCTACCAGTAATCCTCCATCCCCATAAGAAGGGAGTTTACTCTATGTTAATATCCTGGATGAGGTATTAAATTTTACTTAGAAAAAAATTAACAGAACTTCTAAAATAAAAGGGGTTTGCTTCCAAGGCAGTTTATGAAATATTCTTAATTACCCAAACCCATTGAAAAGGCAATTTGGGTCATCATTTCCAAATGTCATCTCTGTTATTTCCACTTCAGTATTAAACTTCATGCCACATCAAAATATAAAATGCTGCAACAGCTTACGCACTGTTGATGTTCATTCATCTACTGCACATCAGAAAAGCTCATTGCAAATATGGCATGAAAGAAAGAAAAGTAAGCAAAACACACTCAGAAAAGACTTGAAACAAACTGCCTCAAGGAACACACTCCAGAGGAAAGATTGCAAAACCATAGCCTTACCTTGGGAGACTTGGGCAGGTCCACCTTCCTTTCTTCTGCTAAGGTTAGCAGGGTTAACTTTGTTTCCTCTACTGAAGGGTGTTTGGGAGGGCGAGGTGGGGGGTGTGAGGCTGAGCTTTCATATCTCCGCATCATGTAATACTGCTCTTCAGTGATCTCTTCTACCAGAGTCCTGACTAGAAATGGTCCTGCATCCCTACAGAAATTACTAACTAACTGAACAGTCATATTCAAGCGACCCACAGGAATTTCCCAGCACTCCGTGGGGTTGGCAAAGTCACTTATGAGTAGGTAAGAGTCTGTGATGTCTTCCTCCAACTGCAGTCCTGGTGTGGCAGCCAACACATCCTCTTCAATGGAAAGATCCCTGACAGACACCTTCACATTGAAGGGCAAGCGGAACTGTTTACAGAGCTCAGAAATCGGGTACTGTTTCTTATCATGAATCACCTCTACAAAACCTCCTTCCATGTACAAAGGGAGCAGTGCTGCCTCATAGGACTTTTTGAGGATTTTTTCACAGGCCAGAACATTCACTACTTTTTTTATTCCCTCACAGAGGACTTCAGTTGTCTCTGAGTGATGCACCAGAAACTGGTCCCCAACAGATACAGATGACAGCTTGTTATGAGGGGAATGAAAGGCTTTGGTGGCCACCACGTGAAGAGGCTCCTTTTCACTCTTAGCGATCTCTAGGTCATAGGCCGTTGGGAACTCCCTCGGTCGCCGCTTGAACTTGCCTTTATAGCTAGTGGGGATCAAGAAGTGTCTTTTAGGAAAATTGCTTCTAATTTCTGAAGCTAAGATTCTTGATGCCTGGTACTTTTTGTGGATCACAATTGTTTTCCCAGGCTGTAAAATGCTTTGGGGCAGGTGATTTCCTTGAGGTGCTTCTATGACTTCAGTTACTATGGGGAACTCTTTACTGGTCATTTCAAAAAGATCTTCTGTTGATAACAGCTGAAGAAACCAGTTAGCATCATAAGAATCAGTGATGTCTTTGACTTCGACATCTAGACTGGGGAGGATGCGGACTATATCCTTTCGAACTGAAAAGAAAAAAAAATCACTATGGTATTTTGTACTTCAAAATGTTTGCTGCAAGATACTCTCCTGATGCCATAAATAAACTTATTTTACAAAATAAAGAACTCAGATGATCATCATATATCATTTCTTATGTGTGATTTTCCTTTTTTCAAATTTTAAGATGAAAGAGATTGAATATAAAACCAACACTCATAAGCCCATACTCAGTTTAAGAAGTGCACATTAGCCAGTACCTTGGAGCTCTAGGGAACTTCCTCAGAATCACATCCTCACTTCTACTGACGTACAATCACTCTCCTGATTCTCATGCTAAATATTCCTGTGTTTATATTTATACTTTTATCATTCATAACATACATGAATATAGCTATGTGTGTGAATATGTATGTAAATGTGTTCATAAATTTTATACGAAGGTTTATAAATTAGTAGGTCATTTTAAGTCACATTCTTGAGGGCCAGACTTTATCAAATTATCATAGAAGAAAGTTTTGACCCAAAACATACATTCTTTATACCAAATCTTATCCTGTGAGATGAAACAATATTGCAAAATCATGAGATACAAGCTACTTGAGATTAATATGTGAAAATAAATACCAAGATGCAGTATTTTTCCAATGTCAAAATTATTTCTTTCTCCACTGGTGTTATATTATACCTACCTAGCAAAGGAGTGGTGCAGAGTGGGTCACAATCAGAGGAGCCATTCAGGAGCCCTAGGTATGCTGGTGGGTGCTCAGCAATGTATTAATTGCCTCATGCGTCACTGGGGTTAATGGATATCTGTATTTTTTCCAACTACCCACTGTCTCATGAGTCTTCCTTTGAGACTGCAGAGATGCTTAGAATATTGTCCTGCATTTATTTACCTGTTCCTCATACACTACCCAACATAGTATCATTATAAATGGTCCTGAATAAACTTACGTATTGGCCAGGAACTGTATCTCATTCCTATAATCCCAACATTTTGGGAGGCTCAGGTGAGAGGACTGCTTCAGCCCAGGAGTTCAAGGCTAGCCTGGGCAATATAGTGAGACCTTGTCTCTGTACAAAAATTAGAAAAATATTAGCTGAACCTGGTGGCATGTGCCAGCTACTCAGGAGACTGAGGTGGGAATATCACTTGACCCTGAGAAGCAAAGGTTGCAGTGAGTCATGATCACACCCACTGCATTTCAGCCTGGGTGACAGAGTGAGACCCTGTCTGAAAACATAAAAATAAAAAAAAAATAAAGTTATGTGTTAATATTAACAGGGTATTATAATAGTCTATATTTTCTTGATAACTTACTAACATAAATTTTACAGCATTTTCATGATATGGCATTGATTTTCAATATCTCCAGCCACCCTTCTGTCATTTTTTTCTTCCTTCCATGCTTTTGAAAATGAACAATTTGGAAGATTTGGAAGACAGAATATCCTCTTATAAAACATTACATATGTATTACTTTTTATATTATTAACTGCATCATAAAACCTGTGTGATTTATGTAATATTATTTATATACCCTGTGTAATTATAGAGTTTCTGAAGATGCAGCAATGAAAAAGTATTATCTTCTTGTAAAAAAACAAAAAATCAGTGGTTGCCTATAGGCTGAAGGTCTGCAAAATTGTAAAGATTTTTAATTTTTAGAAAAAAAAAGGAGGGTTTAAAGAGCACTTCTTACATTAATAAGTTATTTTATAAAGTTTAGCACACACTAACTTTTGACATTATACCTACTGGCTTCTCTGAACCTCAAGGTAAGTTTAGAAACTAAAATTCTGGTGGTTTGACTCAAAATGAGCTAGGTTTAAGAATCCTAGAGCTAGCTCTAGATAGGCTCATGCTATTCCTCAAGTCTAGGGAACAGCTAGAGATTAGTAGAATAGATGCCATCAAGGACTTCCTGAGAATTCAGAACATCAATTTCAATGCAGGCTAGATCCCAGTCTTTCTTTGTACATGGTGGGTGCTGTGGGCTAGGAATAGCTTTAATGCATTGGAGGACGGCATTGCTGCTGGAGAAAGTCTATGGGCCATGTTATCTAAACTCTTAATATTTTTTGTATTCAATTACTGACCTATCTTCAGTACTTTTGTGCCTAAATCCACTGAAATAATGTTAGCCTATCTTATTTTACTTAAGCTCTCAGCAGCATTTGACAAAGTAGATTAGACTCCCTCCTCTTTGATACATTTTTCTCACTTATTTTCCTCTTATCTCACTTGTCATTCTTCTCAGTTTTGCTGGTTTCTTCTCCCTATACACCACCCACCCCTCACACACACCTTTTAGAGTGTCTTGGTTCTCTTTTTCCCTCTATCTACACTCACGCCTACTCTGATCTTAAATGGTCTCATGTCTTTAAATATCATCTTTATGCTGATGACTACCCAAAGTATAGCTCTAGCCAAAACATCTTCCTGAATGCTGTATGTCTACTTCAGATCTCCACTTGGACATCTAATAGATGTCTCAAAATTAACATGCTTAAACTGAAATCTAATCTTCCCCCAAAACCTAAGCTACATGCTGTCTTCCCAAACTCAGCTATTGGAAACTCTTTTCTTTCAGTGCAGTCCATAAATCTCAGGGACATCCTTAGCTTTTCTCTTTTTTAACACCTGACATCTCTTACATCAGGACTATCCTGATCTGAGCCACATTATCTCTTGCCTGGCTTGTTGCAATGGCTTTCTAACCAGTATCCTTGCAGTCAAATCTCAATAGGGAAGCCAAATATTATTTTTAGATGCTAAATAAATTATGTCTGTCTTCTGTTTATAAGCCTACAGTGTCACTCCTTTCACTCAATTTAAAAACCAAAGTCTTTACCTGGCCCCTGGCACCACCTGGGTCTCATCTGCTACTCCTTTGTCTCACTCTAACTCCCCACTGTCTCCCGGACCTCCACATTGTCAGTCAGATCTTTGCACAGCCTGTTTCCTCTGCCTGTTACATTCTTCAGCCAGATATGTTCACAGCCAACTTCTCTTTTTCTTCAAGACTGCTTAAATATCATCTTGGCAGTGAGATCTACTCTAAATGCTCTATTTAAAATTGCAAGCTTCTCTTCCATTTGCCCTTTTCTGTTTCTCTATTTCATATCACCCTTCACCTTCTATCATTCCATATCACTTGCTTATTTATATTATGATCATTTTCTATTGTTTGTTTCCCTAAACTGAAACATATGCCTTCCCAGAGGCAGTAGTCTTTCATTGTTTTCTTCATCAATGTCTAGAATGTCTACAATGGCTCCTGGCACATAGTAGATACTCAATAAATGAATTAATGAATAAAAAATAATTGCCAGAACAAAGTACATGAGTGAGTACTAAAGGAAGCAATTCAGTAAATAAATTCTATATAAAATTTCACTGTAGAAAAAAAGTTTTCAATGTTAAAATTCCTGCTACTATTCATAGCAGCTATTATATATTTTATTTAAGACATGTCTCTTAAAGTTACAGTTTAACTTAATCAATGGCCTGTTCAATGCAGTAAATACTTGTTTTTAATGTCTTCAATACAATAGAGAGATTGAGGTATAAATAGATGAGCAAAGTAAAATACTTTCATCCAAGTGTTTTTAATTAAAAAGATTAGGCAAAATCATGATATATATGCCTAAAGAGAAGATTCAGTACAAGAAAATAGCACAAGCAGTGAAAATCTACAACTCTTCTTAGATTCACCAGAGAATTGAGGTCACAGGGCAAACCACAACCCCAAAAACTAGACAGGTAGGCGAATACAAACAGTCATAGCTCACTGGGGGCAAAAACCACTGCTGGAGCCAGCACCTGGAAGAATACAAGGGTAACTGGGGACCAAGAGTAGAATCGTTTAAGAGATAAAACTCCCAGGGTCGGGGGAGCATGTTTAGGAGGACCTCCCACACTTTTCTGAGTCTTACTTTCAGGGGCCCATCCAGGTTCTCGGGATGAAGATGAAAAAAATTTCCTTGTGCTTCTGGCAGGGTGAGAGAAGAAGCAACCATTCTGAAATATATCCAGAGCATTCTGTTCTCCTTTAAAAATGCCTGTCCTCAAGGAAAACTACTTTAGCACAGCCCAACCAACTTGTGCTTTACCAGAGCCTAACCGTCATGGGGGAAGGGAATTACCCAACCAAACCACCTCTAATATTCTATGTAGGGAAAAAGCAATACCCAACTCCAACCTCCTCTGTACTTCCACATAAAGGAAGGGAAATACCCAACTCAAGCCTCCACTAGCCATTCTGTCTCTCCCAAAGCGTACAAAAAAGCTGAGAAACATTTGCGAAGGTCACAGCCTAGAGACACAGGCTCACTAATAACTGAAACCTAATCATAAAATTATAGAAATCCCCCCTCCATGCCATAGGACCACATCAACAGTGCTACTGTATAATAACAGGAAATTACAACTCAAAGAATGGCATTTAAGACTGTATCTAAGAAGGAGTCTCTAGAGACTAAAGTCAATAGGGCAGACAAAAGCAAGAGCACTACACGACAATGTAGTCTCTGACACCTACCATTATAGTAAACTATAAACACAGCCTAACTTCTAGATAGATAAACAGAAAATATCACATTAAAAGACAATTTATCAGTTTCTTTTAACTGAAACATCATGTCTGGCTTTCAAAAAAAAAAAATCTGCAACATATATTATAAGGCAAAAAAGCACACTCTGAAAAGACAAATCAAGCATCAAAGCCAGCTTCAGATATAGCACATATTTGGGAATTATCAGACCAGGAACTTAAAATTTAATAATAATGCTAAGGAGTATAATGGAAAAAGGGGACAACATGCAGGGAAAGACGGGTGATATAAGCAGAGAAATGGAAACTCTAGGGGAAAACCGAAAGGCAATGATAGAAATTGAAAACACAAGGCCAGGCACGGTGGCTCACGCCTGTAATCCCAGGACTTTGGGAGGCTGAGGCAGGCGGATCACGAAGTCAGGAGATCGAGACCATCCTGACTAACATAGTGAAACCCTGTCTCT